CTCAACAGTGAGTGGCCCGCGGCGGCCGTGATATCTATTACGCGTGTTATGTACAAAACGCAGGACATACGCTAGCGTATATTTCATCCGAGTATATTGTGAAAATCTTTGAAAAGGAAAAATAGAAATCTCTGTCGTAGCCAAAAAGGTGCAGTTTACCTTTAGTTCAGGTAAATCTTGTTTACTATAATTATTTTCACGGTTGGTTCCGTACTCAATTTCAGAACTATGAACAAATGACGGTCCCTCCCACCATAATGAGGCTGATTTAAGTTTGTCTAAATACAGCCCCCGGGACACTAAATCAGCGGGGTTGTTGCCTCCACTTACATGATACCAGGGTACATCCTTAACAATTTCATGGATTTCTGAAACTCTATTCCTCACAAATGTTTTTAGCAAGTTAGGAGCCATGCGTAACCAACCCAGCACAATAGTGGAGTCGGTCCAAAAAACTACGTTGTTAAAATCAACAGAGTAAAGGGCTTCACGTACTCTTTTAAACAGTTTTGCACCCAATAACGCCGCGCATAATTCTAACTTTGGGATACTAATTGACTTTAAGGGTGCAACCTTTGCCTTTGAGCAGTAAAGCTGAACAGATACAGAAGAATCAATGTTAATAGTGCGAATATAAATGCATGCTCCATACGCAGACTCCGAGGCATCACAAAAAATATGTAACTCTCGACCTACGGGTTTCATTCCCTGTACGTACCGAGGTATGCGTATGTCACCAAGAACATGCAAAGAAGAGGAAAATCGTTTCCAAACTTCTTTGACATCCCCAGGGACTTCTTCGTCCCAACCTATTTTTATTAACCAAAGTTTTTGCAATAGAATTTTACCTAAAATTACAAATGGACTTAATAATCCTAACGGATCAAAGATTTGTGATATCATTGACATAATATAACGCTTTGTGATAGTTTGAGAACTATCTCTTTTAAATGCTGTGTTAAAATGAAATTGATCCGTAGTATGAAACCAGCCTAAACCTAAAGTTTTCGAATGTATATTCTCACCCAAAGACAAATCTTTAGATGTTTCATGCTGCATTTCGTTTGAATCGAAATTAAACTTCCATTTCCTAAGTGGAAAGCAACCAGAAAGTAAAGTTTTTTCTACTGCTTGACAAGTTTGCAACAAAGATTCCTTACTCTCAGAAGTTGTAATCATATCGTCTACATAATAATCCTCGCTAATAACTCTCATGACGTCAGAATTCGTGCTTTCAGCAGCCAACTGCTTTAAACATCTACAACTCAAAAACGGTGCGGAAGCGGTTCCGTAGGTAATCGTGTTTAGCCTATAAATGCTTAATTGCTCTGACGGATCGTCACGCCATAAGATCAATTGCAAATCACGTTGATCTTCGTGAATAAGACACTGTCGGTACATTTTTTCTATGTCCGCACAAGCTGTGTACCTATTAAATCTAAACCTAATGAGAATAGCCATGAGGTCGCCTTGTATGGCCGGGCCAACCATTTGTAAGTCATTTAACGAAACGCCGTTGCTCGTATTGGCACTTGCATCAAATACCACTCGTAATTTAGTCGTAGTACTGTGCTCACGAAAAACACCGTGATGTGGCAAAAAATAATGTTGTTTCCCGTACTGATCAACACGACTCATATGACCCAAACGTATATATTCATGCATAAAGTCTGTATAAAGTTTTTTATAATAGGGATGACGCTGAAGCCTTTTCTCTAGCGCAAAAAACCGGTGCACAGCCTGTGAATAACTTTCGCCTAATGTATCTGTATTTTTATTAAAAGGTATACGAACACAAAATCGTCCGTCACTATTTCGCGTAGTTGTAGTGACGAAATGTTCCTCACACGCGCGTTCCTCGTCTGTGCACGTATCCCGAGCTACAGTTACTTCCTCGAGCTCCCAAAACTGACGTAGCAAGGACTCGACTGATTGAGAGAAGTTGCATTGTATGTACTTATCTTGTCGCAAAAGCGTACAAATAGGTCCTGACACTACCCACCCGAGTTTAGTATCTAATAAGAAAGGCCCGCTTAATAACTTTAATTTATTGTTATTATTTAATAAATCCCAAAATTTATCTGCGCCGATTAGAATGTCTATCTTGTGGGATTCATAAAATTTTGGGTCCGCTAGTTGAACATTGTCGGGAATGTCGAAATGAGAAGATTGGAGTGTTATAGCCGGTAACGAAGGAGTGATTACCGGAAGAACATAACACTGCAAATGCGTAGAATACGGGTTGGTGCGCGATTTAATCTCGATGTCACATATTTGAGTTGAATTTGTGACCGAGTTACCAACACCTCGTATTTGTTGAGTGGACTGTATTACTGGCGCTTTAAGTGAATCGCATAATTGTTTAGTAATGAAACAACGTTCGCTCCCGCTATCAAGGAGCGCGCGGGCAACATGAATATTATTATAAGGATCGGCTATCTCAACTAACGCAGTAGACAGCAAAACAACATTGGCCGCTATTGTTTGTGCATCAGGTAAATGTGCTTTATTCGCATGTATGATTGAAACCTGTTCTGATAAGGACGCGGCAGGCGACCGCGGGACGGAGTGCGTGGGGAAAGAGGGCTTACGCCCGGAGTGAGCGAGCGGCGCAGGCGCAGGATCCTCAGTGCGGTGCAATGCGTGAACTGAGCCGGAATTGTTATTTAAATTGTAGGATACGGATGATATGTTACTGTCATTATGAATTAGCGAATTATGTTTTTCGTTACATTTTCTGCAGGGACCAAAACGGCAATAATCGGCAGTGTGACCAGTGCGCAAACAATTAACACACAGTTTCATATCACTAACAAATTTTATTTTCTTATCGTAATCGTAATTTAGAAACTTTATGCATGAATATAGTGGATGGTTCGTCTTGCATAACAAACAGGTTTTCCCAGTGACATCTCGTGAATAGCGTTCAGGTGGCTTACTGGCAGAAACATTACAGTGAACTTTTGATTGACTATGTTGTTGTGGGTAGTGTTTTTTATTTTCAAAATTTGCCTTGTTATGTGATAACTGTAACGTTTCTAGCATGTCAGCCCGGTCATTAAGGAAACCAATTAAATTATCCACCTTAAGCTGTGCGTTGTGCTTATTATTAGCAGATAATGCGGTGCCTTTGTATTGTTCCCATTCGCGTTCCGTAGTTGGGTCTAATTTAGATACCATTATATAAATAATCAGCGTATCCCACGATTCAGTTGGCTCACCGAGAATTTTTAATGCACGCAAATTCTTTAAAACTGTGTCTATTAATTTTCTTAATAAAGCTGGAGACTCTTTGTTGATACTTGGCATTGTGAATAGAGATTTAACGTGATTATGAACCAGTAATCTGCTATTATTGTAACGATTGAGTAGTAATTCCCAGGCAATTAAATAGTTGTCACTAGAAAACTCAACCGAATTTATAACCAGTTCCGCGCTTCCCCTAAGTGACGATTTAAGGTAGTGGAACTTTTCTATATTACTTAACTCCTGAGAATTGTGGACTAAAGATAGAAAAGTGTCCCTAAACTCTAACCATTGTTCACACAAACCGTTAAAGGAGGGTAAAGAAATAGTAGGTAACTTTATAGATTTACTACTATGACTACAAGCGTTGGAGTTGCTGGCAAGTTGGTTTGGGTTCAATAGATATTCAGCCTGCGCTAGGATACTGTAATAACCATCTTCGAACGATTCTCTCTGCGTTAACTGCTCATCCAAATCAACGGCTAAGTCCTCCAATTGACTCTGAATATCATTGAATTCTTTATATAAATTTGAAGCCCCTTGAATACGCAACTTTAAATCTATGCGAGACTGACTTGAAATATTCTCTACTTTCATGTTACAGAGATAGTTAGCAAATTTGGTTAATCTACCCTTAACTATACCGCGTTTCCTCACTAAATCCTTAATCAAGCTCTCATTGCTACATTTGTAAGGGGATTTTTCACGCACTAGGCTTGGATCTACACTCATTTTGGTGAAAAGTAGTAAAGAAGGAGTACTTACGATTTGAAATGTAACTGCCGCAGCTGTTTCGCGGGTTGAGTCGTAGGCTCGTAGTAAATATACACAACAAATTAAGTACTGGAATAAGACAAAATGCACAGTATTACACAGAGGAAGTGGAGATAAAGCAGGAATAGACGGGATGGCTGGCTGTACCTTTATGCGCGTTTCAAAGGCTAGCTGGCTTCTCCCACGATTTGCGCTTATGCTTAGTGGCTCCTGGACTTCCGGTTGCTGCTGTTACTGCTGTGCTTTTGTAGAACCTCTCGACCTTGCGACTTATTTCCTGGTTCGTTACAGACGTTGAACCGTCGGTTGCAACAGTCGCTGATTCTTCTAGCGTATTATCCGGCGAAAAAGGTCCAAATGTTTCGGCGTTATGCGTACTCTTCAATAAAGCTCAGTTGTTTACTTCAATAATGCGTATATTGCGAATATAATTACAAATAAAATAAATAAATGAAAATTGCGAAAGAAAATTGAGCGTACTAAATTTGAATTGCGTAGAGAGTGAAGTGAAGAGGGGGGTTTTTTGATCACATGGGTCAAAGCTGCTTCTACTGGTGGAAATGGAGCGACGTTCCGGTGTAGGCAGAACTTTTTACTCAAGCGTCAACACTAAATGATAAATGAATATACAGTAAACGTAGAAAGTATTGCATAATCTTCTAAGACATGCTTAATGCTGTAGATCTTTTTAGCACAAGTAACATTTAGGTGCAAGTACTGCGTTTCATGTTAAATAAAAAATATGTTTTTAATAAGAAAAAACTTGTAAATATATTTATATTTTAATTTTGTAATTTGTAAACTAATTTAACTGCTAGATGTTTATCTCTCCCATCTGCTGCCTGGTCCGCGTGGATTTTTTTCTCGTAAAATTTTCCTTAGTTGTAAATATATATTTTTACATATATATCATACCTGGGGATATAATTTTTGGAAAAAAGTTAAAATCACTAAAATAACGATTACTGCAATTACGATTAGCAGGGCATAGGTGTGGTGGGATAATATGCTGCTCATTTTTATTAAAGGTTTTAGGGAATTGATAACTGACTGAAATTAGGTTGGGTATTTCCTGTTCTAAATTCGGAACGGTCATTGGTAGTCGCTCACGATTTTCTAATCACTCAATTTATAGATAAATGGATTACTTTTCAAATGCTATCTAACTGCTATTAGAGAGTAATTATATTCAGCGTGAGTTTTCGATTTTTGTATCATAATAATTAATGTTTTTTTACTTGAAATAAATCCTCTCCAATCCAGAGCTCATCATCCGAACAAAGATAAAAATAAATACACAATATGTATATAATTATAACTTTATATTTTATAACAAATATAGAATGACATACTGCATCAGTATTGTTTAAAGTGGGATCAATAAAAGTTATTTACAATAGATTTTATTTAAAGCTAAAATTAATTTAAATAATTATCATTTGCCTTAATCATTTATTTAAACAAGTGATATATTTACAAAAAATATTTCTAAATTATTAATACCAGTCATCAAATAAAGGCAGTTGATTTTTACACTATTCATAAAAAGTACTAAATTCTATTTATTTACATCGTTCTTAAAAATGGACGGAATCAAATTAACAAAGCATGCAACAATTTGTAAGGCACACATTGTTTTTAAATATAAATCGTATCTAAAATTAATAAGACGTAGAGCTACTATCTGGTCTTAGCTGTTTAGTTTGAACTTCATCATAAGCAATAGTAAAGATGCTTTTCTTCTCAGTTATGGGTAGCCTCTTGATATTCCCAGTTTGTACAAGCGTATTCATTGCTATTCCAGAATCATTGTCGTCTATGTTGGTAGTCACACTTCTATTGATTTCAGATACATCTCCTCCGATGTTAATTTTAGAAACGTGTACTTCTGGTGTATTTTTGCGGTCTTCGTCATAACTTGTTGAAATCGATATACTATGTGTTAGTGCACTTTCAGAGATCTGCTTTGTATCTTTTTTCTTAACGTCATCTTGATTAACATATATCGGCTGTTGTTCAACAGATGTTCTCTTAGGTAAAACAGGAATATTTGGCTGTCCTCCTAAATATTTCGGTATGTGAGTTGGCTGTATGTGACAAAGAGGATTTTGATTTTCGTATTGACGTTCATATCTATGCTCAGAGTGTTGGAGTAAAGGATGAACATCAGGATAAGGACCTTCAGGCACAGGCGTCACTTTTTCTTCTTTTAATAACCGCGGATGTATGAATTCATTTTCTTTTAGTTTGGCGTTTTTTTTTGCTTCAGAATTATCATTTTGATCTCTACTTATGATTTTGCCATACCGACCCGTTTTGTCTTCTTTAATGTCTTTATCCTGTTCGTTTTTTGTTTTTGATGGTCGTTTTGGTTTTGATGGGGGTATTTTATCGGTGACAGTTGACTTTTGAGGAGTTACTTTATCGGCTCCTAATTGTTTAGAATTAGTTCCTTTTTTACCATACCATTGCATATATCTAGGTAGGCTTTTCTGTACCGTTTTAGAATTTTCTGGTGATTTTGTTGATTCAGTGTTAGCGTCTGTTTTTTTAGCACTTGAATCGGTTTGACTTATACTTTCTCCCATGGGAGCTATATAATCTAAATCGGTAGTTTTTATATTAGATATTTGGTCAGCTAGTTCACGGGCTTCAGTTGAAGACCCTTGCCTAGAAAATACCAAATTTCGATTATCTTTGAGTGACGCAGAACTACTTCTGCTTTTGATCTCTTCACTACTTTTATGTTCTAAGGCCAATTGCTCTTCAATATGATTTTGTCGTTGTATGCGTTTTCTGTCTCGTGAATCTGATTCTATCTTTTCCTCGAGAGAATCAGATATTTCCATTAATATTTCCTTTTTTAATTTTGATTTTCTCTCTGCATCAGATGATTTGATTTGCGTTGAGCACACAGTTTCATTTTTTGAAGTTGTTACTATGCTTTTTGTGATATCTCCATAATTTTTTACGTGCTCCTCTCTTTCATTAGTTTTACTTATTTTTACGTGTTTTTCACTATCTAAAGAAGGAGAAACTTCACTTTCTTCAATAATCGGTGTTTTTATTTTGCGTTTCAAATCATAGATTCTGATACTTCGCCTTGGATCTTTATATTTTATTTTCTTTTTCGGTTTTTTCTTCTTCACCCATGCGACTTTTTTATTTTCATCTTCTAATATTTGAGATTCATCTTCACTATATGAGTCATTATCACTTCTTGCTTTTCTGCGAGTTGGTTTGAGTACAATTGGCTCTGTTTGTGTTCCTATATGACATTCTGTTTGGGTAGCCATTACCGACTGTCCAGGGAGACTTTGCGTTTCTAGTTTACTTTCAACTTGTGAGGCAGTTTCTTGGTTTTGAAGCATTCTTTCACGTTCTATCAAAATTTGATGTAACAGTTCATTTTGTTTTCTCAAAGATGATTCTAATAGTTCTTGATGTATAGTAGATTTGTTTTGCATTTCTAATAAAGCCGACTGTAAATAATCAGTTTTTAATGGAACCACACCAGGTACCTCTGGAGGAATGTTTAAGTAATCATGGAATTGATTGTGTGTTTCGCTACCACGACGAGATCTTTGACCAAAATTTTTACCTTCCTTTCCATTTGACACACTATCCATATCAGTAGATTTACCCATTTTCTCACGAATATTTTTAGCTTCTTCACCTTGCTCTCTAATAAATCTTTCCATAAGCAAATCTTTCCCACTATCAACTACGACATACTGAGTGTGTGGAATAAGCGTTACTGGTCTTTGTTGATGTATAGGAAGATTCACGTATCTTTCTTCTTCACCTTTCCCTCTAGTAACCAGTCTTAAAATTTCCGTGTTTCCTTCTTTTATGAAATATTGGTCTCTTTCAAGGGAAGATGGAGCTCTTTGCTTGTCTTTCTGTTCTTTTTTGTTATTTTCTATTTTATCATTGATGTTTTTATCTTCAGACTTGAGAAAGACTCCGACTTCTGAACCACGGTCTAATTCGTGTCTTTGCATAGAATCACTATCTTGATCTCTTTTATGATAATGCAAAGTAGCAATCCGATCATAACCGTTTTCCAGATCTTCTATGTATTCTTTATGTTTGTTTGCGAAGGATTTTTGAATTTGCATTTCTTTTGTATAAATTATGTTTGGACCATCTCTGTAACATAAATTAATATAATAAATAACGTTTATTTCTAACCATAAACCAAGTTACATAAAAAGACTATTAGTTTGGGCAAGTAAATAATTCTCTATAGCAGCTTGAGCAATTTTCGTTATATCACGATTTTTATCGTATCTAACTATCAAACTTCATAGTATTTAGACAACTGAACGTGGTAAAAACGAACTATGTATCATATCGCAGTGCTCATGGTAGAGGAGTTGGATTGTGAACCGCTGGTGCCCGTGGTAGGTAAAGCACATGCATTAAAGGCCACCGGGTTTCTAACCCAAATCAGTTAAACTTAACTTTATAGTTAGAAAAACTGAATTCATAGTTTTTCTAAGATTTCACAAAAATGGGTTACTCATAAGCTAATATTATTTATTGGGTGGTCCTTATTTTTCGAACTTTTATATGTTATCGCGGCACTTCGTTAATTGATTATTGGCCATAAATTAAGAAACTGCTTTTGTTTTTGGAGAAAATTTAGAGGTTGCTGCCACTTACTAAACTTTTATAAAATACATTGTATTGAACTATGGACAAGTCAATAATGAGCCTCACTAATTAATGCAAATATAAAGCAAAAGAAGCAATTACTCAAAGATATGCGCATTCGATTTTGGCTTTGTTATTCAAGTGTGTGGTGTTTAGTGCAGCCGTTTGACTATGTGTCAGCAATAATTGGAGGAGCACGTTTGTTGTAAGGGAAAGCTGTGGGTTTGAAAGCTCGTCTCATATTAATGGACCGGTCTGGTAAAATGCCAATGAAAATGAAACTATCTATAGCACTTTTATCCCTAGACAGTTTTATTTAAGTTCAATTTGATACATTCTATATTCTAATCATGCCCTATAGGGAATGAAATGGAGGGCCTACTACCAACAGTTAAAAAGGCAAATATGCGAATTTGCTTCGTCAAATATATATAGCCATGTGTGGTTCAGGATATATTATCGCGACGAAAGCATGCAATTCAAGGTGCAGAAACAAAAGACCGATCTGCATCTTATACTTGATTGAGTTTTAAAGTCGCTATGGTCAATGTTATTCCAATTGTTCCTAAACCTTTTGGATAAATGTATATCAGGACCACAAGTGAATCACGAACTGTCTCGATAACATATATGGACCACCCTAATAATAATTTGATTTAAATAAAACTAAATCGAAATTATGTCAGTTCATTGAAGTAGGTTCATACTATTTAAGTATGTAATTATTTGCATTAGTCAGGATAACAATTCCAGCTGATGACAAGTAGACAAAAAGAGTTTTTGTTTTAAAACCTTGACTTGCACTATACATATAAATAGATACACGATGACTTAAAATAAATGGATCTTCTTTTTATCGCAAAACTTTTGATGTCATAATATTATTAAGCTTTTCAACGGATGGCATGAAATTAATTTCTTAGAAAATCATTTGGCACACAGTCATTTATCAGACATTCAAAACTAATACATTTGTAAGCCATAATCATATTTCCATTTAATATCCATAATAATCAAAAACAGAACCACCATATTGCAGCAAGTTCGCAGCCAGAATCGGCATTTGGCATAATAACTTTTAACTTTTCTTTCTTTATTTATCTTATCTAACAGACGGCTGGCACTGGCTAAGATTAGGTCACCACAATATCTGCACCTAACTCACTGACCACAAAATACCAATTATGCTTAACGAAGTTATGCAGAATAAAATTTCGCCGAAGGTAAATTATGCGTAATGATAATCTGCCATTTTAATATTATGCTATTGTGGATTCAGACATATAATAATTAAGCCAATTCATGATCATGTTTAAAAACTTTATGCCTTACAAATATACGTCTATAGAAGATTATGTCAAGTGTGTTATACCAAATGAATTTTGGAACAACAAGATTCTACCAAATAGAGGAAACCCAAAATCAATACATACCTTGCACGAAAAGATTGCCTTGCATCATTGTATTTATAGTCGTTATCTTCGGCTGCATGTACGAATTCCTGATGTATGTCACCGGGTATTGAAGCGGGTTTAGAAAGTTCTTTTGATCTGTAATTTCTTTTATTGAATTTCCACTGAGTCGGTTTTGTCCTCAAGTCTGCTTGTTCAGCGCTCCACGCCTCTCTTCTACGCCACTCGGTAGCTTGTACAGACTTATTTTCTAAATTTTGCGTCGATTTGTTTTCCCTGCCAACTCCCTTGTCGTGTACCACTAAACGCACGTCGTCTTCTGTGGAGTTGACACGGATCACTCTTTTCCTAGAATTTATTAATGGATGTCTATGTACCTAGCTTTCTGTTATAACTTAAAAATGTAAGTATTTACAAGTGAAATATAATAATACATAAACTAATGAGGTGTTAAGCTGATTATTGATAAATATTGAAGCTAAATAATTGTTTTTGTAATGAGATGAGAATGATAGCTATTATAATTTGTATAGTTACCTAAGATGTAGAAAAGCGGGTGAGTAACGTGCACTGGTTAGTTGGTGCATTTTAGTCTGTTAAAGATAGAAGATAAAAGAAAATTAACCTGAATGAAATAATAAAACAATAGATTTTAAGTATAATTTGGCCGTGGTAAAGGAATGCATAAACAAATATCTAATATATTAATTAAATAAATTTAATCTTTTTCAGATGAAAATAAAAGCACACTTTTGTTTCGGAAATAAACACAAACGTCTTAATGCCAATTACAAAATAAAGACAACAGTATTTAGAATGTTTCCTTTCTTATTAAAACGTTTATGCTTATTTCGAACAAATATTTATTTCTCAAAACAGTGAGATTTACCTTGGTGGCATATATAATGGGCAACCCTCACATATGCAACAGCAAATTAGAAGTAGCAATACGATTGCTACTAATATCGCTAACAATATCAACAACCAGAATAACAGGCGACTCTCGGCTCGGTAAAGGTTCTGAAAAAAAAAACAAAATTTAAGTCGTATAACACATTTAGAAATCATCACTAAGATAAAATGAAATGTAAAGAATTTGTGCATGATGAATTTGTTTGAAAAATACTTACAGAATCGCCATTATCAGCTGTCGCTGCATGATCAACCTGACCTGTTCCTCCATTATTCCCTGGACTTGCGTTAACATTGTGTGTTCCCGGGTAAGTATTTACATTAGTACCGGGATTGCCAGTGTTACTACCAATATTTCCGTTATTAAGACCAGTATTTCCAGTATTTGTGCCTACGTTTCCAGGATTTATTACCGGAGTTCCAGGGTTTGCACCAGTGTTCCAAGTATTTGTACCCAAATTGCCATTATTGGCACCATTATTTCCATTGTTTGTATTTCCACCAGTATTTCCATTATTGGCAATGCCGCTTCCAGTGTTATATATCGTCATATTCTTGGCTAACTGTTCTTGAAGTTTAGCTACATTAATAGCGGAGTTTCCTGACATTCTGACAATGGCTATTACTTCACTCCTGCAAAAATATTTCAAAAGTGATTTGCGTTATTTTATTGAAAATCCTATTAAACTGATGTTTAAATTCTTTTTTTGCTTCTATGTTTACTGGGTCCGAAACGTATTTTTTATATATCTAGGGAAAATTTTAGTATAAAAAGCAAATCATCAACAACAGTTATTCGCATTAGTTTGAATGAATGAATTTCTCATTGAATTAACAATGGGGCACGGAAATAAACAATAATAGTACTTTTCTCAAATAATGCGTGAAAATTAAAAATAATTACTTTTCAAAATCAAAGACGAACAACGATATTTTTTCTCGCGTTAAAGTCTTCATTGGTTTTTTTTTCAGTAAATAGATTTTTATTTGCAAACCTAAATTTAAATTAAACCTTTGATAAGTTACCTCCTTGGTTGCTTTGTTTCGGAATCGAAGAATGTTCCATTTTAAAAAATTACACGACAGATAGGTTTATACTATGTACTTTATTTGGCTGCTAAACATGATTGATATGAATTTTCACACAACTTTTGCCGATCGCTGCTCGCATGTATTTGGCCAGTACAGCAATTGCAAATTATCACGAAAAAGGTTGTCAAAATAATGCTAACATTTCCAAGCATATTTGAGAAAAGAAATTATGTAAAAAAAAGAAAAAAAAAACGAATGTATGGTCAATTAACATATTACTCACTTTTCTTGACTAAATTCTTGTCCGATCAAATCAGTAGCACCGTTATCGCCCTTATAAGGTTTAATTTCGATTATAGTGACCTTTCCTCCAGAAAGAGTACTGAGAACCTCCTCAAGTTTCTGCCTATCGGGATTAGCACCAGGCACAATAAATGACATTGTCCGTGTTTTACTTTCGGGTGGATAAATCTTCACATTGGTGGTGGAAGATAAACTAGGTACACCCAAGTCATAAGCTCGAACGGTCAAACTGAAGACTTCGCTTTCTTGTTGCGAATCTAGCTGACGTTTTTGTCTAGGGACATTTTGTTTCTTCGTCCGCTTAAGCGCTTGAAGAAGATACAGTTCACCTGAAATCGAAGATAACATGAAATATTTATTCTTGGAGCTTCTTAAATCTGACAATTAATTTTTGTTTGAACATTTACCTGTTTCTGTATTTATAGCAAACTTTTCATCATTGTTTCCTTGTATTATTTCATATCTTACAATGTTATTTGGTGGCTCTGCGTCTTTATCAACTGCCTTTACAAACGCCGTTGAAGTAAAATTGTTCAAGCTTGGCGAAAGCACAAACTCGTATAACGATCTTTCAAATTCTGGTGGGTTGTCATTTACATCTAATAACTTAATAATTAATGGCACTGTTACTCTTAAACCTACTCCATCGTTATCTCTAGCCTCTACTAAAAAATGCAAGTCTGGCATCGCCTCACGGTCGAAGCCGTGGTTATTTGTAGCTACGCTTATGACCCCTGTTAAAGGATCTAAGTATAGAGAAGTATTTAGGTATCCTAATATGGCAGTGTATTGGATCTTCCCAAAAGCGCCTGTATCTACATCATCAGCTTGTACTTGCTCAACTCTTGTACCAGCCGTTACATTTTCTGGCAATTCAACTTCGTAAGACTGAGCCAAAAATACTGGAGGATTGTCGTTAACGTCGTTCAAGTAAACAGTGACATTAGCGGTTGCTGACAAGTTCGTTGCTGGACCAAGCTCTTGAGCCATAATCTGAAAAGTAAACAGTATTTTTTTTATCTTCTGCAATGTTATTTTTTAATTTAAGACGTGGTGATGGGAGTTGAGCGCCGGAGGCTCTGTTCATATACCCGCGTCATATACTGCACACATGTTAATAGGAGTTATTTTAGGATTTGTTAACATACCATCATATTCAGTTCTGATTCTTTTTTATACAATGACAACATTAATCGAAACAATTATAAAATTATACCAGTATATTAAGATGCTTTTAAAATAATTTAACTCTTAATGAAACTCGATTCTATTCCATGTTAAATATTTTAATTTTATGTTAAAACCATGCCTAATGGACGATATATTACGATATATTCTCAAAACTGTTTTCAATACCTGGAATATAACGGACTTGCGAGCTTCAAAGTCCAGCATGGTATTGTCTCTAACTTTGATGATGAACTGCGTATGCCTCTCGGCTACTGTTGGTGATATTTCGAAGGTTCCATTGTTTCCCATCAAAGTGAGAGAGAAAACGCCGTTCTTGCCTGCATCGTTGTCATTTACTTGAGGGATGTACGGATCGTTGAACGTGAGCGCAGTACCTTGAGGAGCATTCTCATCCAAGTAGGTGATGTAGCTGTAAATATAGGAAGTATAGTAAGTTGAAATTATTGAATTAATATGGGAAATAAATCTTCAACTCTCTCTTACCTATTTAAAATAGTTCAATATTTTTAGTTTAAGCAATTATAAAATTATTAAAAAGATAATAAATAAGGTAGTAGATCAACTGGTAGCACCTTTTCATGAGCATTAAGTATAAATGAACCAGTCATTCTTTCGCTGAACCATATTTCAGGGAACGCAACGACACGCCTCACACGATACTGACATTTAATTATGGCCAAAGAAAGACCAATATAAATATTCTTATTAACATAGAAAATTTAAAGTATTTTTTTTTTATCTTTCTCAAAAAAGTTTTGATGATAAGCAATAGCAACGATGATTTTAGCACTAATAAAATTACGATAAGCTAACGTTTACTGGAGACAGCATAATATTCTAATGGATGATAAGTATCATATTATTTCTGTGGCGGATATTGTTCTTGGTAATAGGTACCATACATAAACACTCACAATTGATTTTCAAAATATGGTGGGGAGTTTTCTCTTTCCGGCAGTATGAAAGCGAGCTGCACCGTGGACGACATGGCTTCTGGCTCCTCCCTGGACAGACGGACTTCCTCTGCTACGACCGTCAACAGTATGGGCGCACCAGCATGAGAAATCGCTGCGATTTCCTCTATTGGCCTCTCTAAGGTTACTTCACCTGAAATAGCAAAAAAAATATTAAGAAAAAGATTCTTAAACTAAAACTTAAAATAGAATATATTCCACTCGGTACAGATTTTGGCGGAAGGCCCGTTGGTTCAAATTTATACTTATTATAATTAAGAAAACGTAAAGTTTCTAGATGACATCAGCTTTTCCGCGGATTTTCGTCCGCGGAAGACAAAAGTCGCTAAATCGGAAAGAAAATGTTCGCCAAGGACTTGTCACGGTCTTAACGCACACGATGTGCGAACATTTGTCCCCCTACAAAACATCAAAACACAACATAATCTGAGATTATTTACTTCCACACTAGGGTTTCCTTAATTTTCGGGGGACAAATGTTCGCATATCGTGTGCGTTGGTTAAGTCCGTGACAATCCTCAGCGCACATTTTCTTTACGATTCAGGTACTTCTGTCTTCCGCGGACGAAAATCCGTCGTCTGCACAAGCCCTAGCCCTGAAACGAAGGAGGAACATTTGTCCACGGACTTTTTGTCTGCCAAAATAGGTTGCTTACAACTACAACGAGTAACGCACACGAATAATTAAAAGTACCGCGTACAAAAACGGGGGAGTCCCCGGATAAAATTAATTAAAATAAAAAAAAAATGATTTTTTTAGTACCCGTAATTATGCCATTGCAAATTTTCCGACAGGCGTTTTAGTTTTTCCGATAATCGCGATAAATATCGTGACGACAAGTGACGACGCATTTGCATGAAGACAATAATAAGCAGATAGGTAGGCAATCAAAATTTAGCAAACATCAATTAGATCTTATATTTCTTTTATTTTGGAATGAACTAGCAGAAAATAATTAAATAAAGAACAAGTATAAATGTGAATAAACTTTAACAACAAGCCATCAAAACAGTTTTATTCAAATATTACCCAAGTATTTAAGTGGAGTGACAACTAGAGAAATATGCCTTTAACAAAAACTGCCCTGATTTCACTTTCATTGTACAGTATACCGGATGACAGCTGGATGCAGAATTACCATACAAAAGTGTCCTCACGATCTACCTCCTGTGGCCGCCATGACACGGCGTAAATTAGAAGTTCATTAATATTTCATAATGAACTTCGTATTTGCATTAATTAAGTCATTGTTAGAATCATCAGTTAGATTCTATAAAGTAGTCGTCGTTTTGTCTATGCCATTAGAAACGAGCAAAAACTTTTCTTTTAAAATTCTAATAGGGTTCGAAACCTGTCTAATGCAAGGACCGAGCGATTTTTTTTCTATTAAAATTTTCTTTAGATTTGTTAATCCAGCAGTTTAATGCTTAAAATAAAAATATAATTAGTAGGTCATTGTATAATGACGGAATCTATACAGTTGCAATTAATAAGTTTTAATTGTACCTCAAAAGCTAAAGATATGAGAAACTTCTAATAGCCGAATACACATATCAATTTATAATCACACCTTCACATGCGAACTTCGACATTCGTGGGTTACGAGTTTTCCATTCAGGTGTTCATATAGAGTTTTGATTAATGCGATAAATTCGCAAGTATGCCCGCACTTCTAGCTTCGAGTAAGTTTTAACGGTTCTTCCGTATCCTGGCGTAGGTAGTTAAAACCCGATAATGTCGGAACTGGGCTATATTGTCAGCTACCTAACGCTCGAGAAATTCAAAGGAAGGTTATTATAAGCTTAGGTACAAGCGCTTCAAACAATGGGGGCACAAGCCACGTTACCAACATGGCCTAATGAGCCATTATTTGTTTAATAGCGGTGCCACCAACCGAACCATTTGTAGTTTGCAAGCATTGTTGCCACGAATCGGGAAACGTCCAAATTAAGTTTTAAATGGTGATGTTAATTGTTTCGTAAATGACGAAAGTTGTGAACTTTTGAAAATAACTATGCCTGTGAATCTGATAGTGTTTGTTGAGCGGGTCACGCGAGGGTCGCTACCTGCTATGGTTTATAAGTTACGCTGGTTGCTGATAAGGAAGTAGGATATCCTACGGAAACGGACGGACCGTCGGACGTAACGATGTTATCGGCCGGTGAGGAAAAAAGAAACTATAAACCAACTTCAGGTAGTCTAGTGACCCACTAACCACTTTTAAAGAAGAACGTTGTACTTTAATCTTTGCTCATATTTTTAAAACTTATAGAAGTACCTAATCGAAGTTCATTCGTTGCTTTTGAGATAAAACAAAAGGATTTCAATAAAATTTTGGGTATTTTTTAAATACCTAATAGTACCTACATTGTTTAATAAGCCAAAAGTATAACCTCAACAGAAAAATTCAGATAATACGTACAAATTGTTCTTAAACTGTGATTTTTATGTGAAAAATACTGAAGACACTTGTATATAAGAAGATATAACGAACGAACAAACGAATATATGTATCGAATAAAATACCAATATGCACACGTGACAAATTAACGAAGGCTCTAATTAAAATTGAATAAATTATTATTTTGATATATTATTATTATAGTTCGTGCAAATTTCAATTTAAGTATGCAGTAGTTTTTGTGAAATGAAGTTACATATTTTGTTAAATTGTAAATACAGAACAATGCGTTACAACAACGGTCACTACTACATAACTACTTATTTAAACGAGGAAATAATTGATGGTTATTTGATAAAGAAAAAACAATCTTTAGAAGAGATAGTGACCAAATGCAGTAGATAAGTAAGATTTATCTTACCGGTAGTCTCATTGACGTTGAAGAACGGAGTGAAAGGATTCCCTTCGGAGACAAGTCCATATCTGATGACTCTGGGTGCCCCTTTGTCTCCGTCCTCTGCGCGGACTTTAACCACCATGTCTCCTGGTGTCACCTGACGCGGCAGATGAGTGATGGGTGGCGCAGTGGTGAACACAGGCGGCATATCCTGCACATCTTGCACTACCACAACCACTTCTAAAGCGGCGATGTTGCGTGTATCCTTCCCCAGTTCTACGTATGGATCCTGTTTAGGATCACAATTCTCAGATCAGTTTAATGACCAATAAGACCTAATTTATATAAAAAAATACAAATTTAAGTGAAGGGTTCAAATTATAATAACTTTACAATTAAACTGTCATTAATAATAGATTATCTTCTAAATGGCTACGGCTAAAGCGATCTTAATAGAGTAATTGGTGGTCATTGAAATTCTAATTAACATATTGCTATAAAGGATTTTCTGTTTGACGAGAGACAAAATTCCAGCATGACCTTCCTTATTCGTCAGCTGTAACGTGTTTGCAAAATTGGTAAGGCAATGGATTAGCATTTTTACGAAGTCTAATCAGGTTAATTAACTAGCTTGTCAGATTTCAATAAACACATACCACAGCGAGGAGTGTCAGGTGGTACATAGATTGCGCCTCGAAGTCCAATGGTCCGACTAAGAAAATCGTGCCTTCTGTGTTCTCAGTAGACACCCTTCTCTGTCTAATAGCGAAAAGCTGCGACCCCTGCAACGTAGAAATAAAACTGTACAGGTAAATGGTACAAGCGTTTAAGAAAACAGAAACAAGATCATGTCGGGTAAAAGAGGATGGTTTAAATTATAGTACGTGTAAGGACACGCTCTCCATTATTATGGCATTTAAGTGGCCGACAAAACGACCTCAGGTTGCGGGTGCCTAGCCGTTCTCTGAGTGTGAGAAATTTAACATGCCTCAAGTCTTCTTAATGCCCGGTAATTGTGCAACATCATTGGACAGGGAGTCGCGATCCCGGGCCCAACCCATCCCATTGTCCGGTGCTGTTTCGAGACGCGTGAATTTGTAAGGAACGCGGCAAACCAAGGCCTCATGTAAATTAGCGCAATTCGAATGGCAAATTTCGAAATTCAACAGCACATTTTAAATTTCTTGTTTTGTAGTAATTAAGTGACTATGCTTAAGCATGAGACTGTGAAATTGCTTGGAAAAATATTAAGTGGCTGATTTCTCGTTGCGTATTTAAATTGAAATCATTCAGTTTCTCTGTAATATTATTTATTATAACTGTAATAATGTAAGCAATCTGAAGTCATGGATATAATTCCCTACGTGCCTATTCATGTGCTGAGGCAACCACATAAATTGTAAAATGAATTTCGTTGGGGGCGTCGGGATCCGACGCCTCGCGAAAATGAGACCTATTAGTGTAAGCGAAACCCTATTACGTGGTTATATCAGAATGCGTGGCAAACGCGTTGTTGGCTCCGAAAACGACATTAATAATCTTTAATGGGTTGAGGTTCAAGGTATTTTTTAATGGCAATAGCTTACCCATAATTCCAGTTCCAGAGGTTTCGGTGACAAAGGGTTCTTTCTGGCGATAACGATTTCAAGGTCCGTTCCCCGCTTGGCATCCTGTAAATTAACGTTTGCTTGGTAATTTTAATCAAATACTTGTAACATTACTGGTATTAAAGGTCTGTAATAAATACGGCTGATGATACTCCCGTGAATGTAGTATTAAGCGTAGTAACCAGTAAGATTTCGGTAAATACTGTAGGTTCGTTAGAACCATGAGCTTGCAACCTGTCGCCTTATTCGAATAACCTGGAAAGCCCAACCATTGCTGTGTCAATATTTGGGTGTGGTTAATTGTCTGGTTCATAAGTTAGGTATTTAACAGTTAAAATATGTAGCATATAAAAGTATTAGTTATTTTAATGTTTAATCATTGAATCCAGCTGTCCACATATCATTCGATGCCCTAAATTTGTGTGAAAAAATAGCTAAGGTCCCCCGGGGTTATTGTAGCTAGGGGGCAGATGTAGCTGTTTCAAATAACTCATTTTTGTTTTATTTTAAAATAAGTTACATTTGTGGCTTTGTAGAGTAACTTTTATTGATCTACTTATAAAAACGTTTTAGTATTAACACGTAAACTGTTTGATTTATACAGTCATATATTATTCCTCCATTTGTTATATGTAGAAACTAATAAAAATATTTACAAAATCATGTTTTGCGCAATATTGGAAGGTGTTTTACAGCGTGTCATGAAATGAGTAACGGTAGTATTCATTTTCAATAAATTTGTTTTATCCTTCTCTTATGTACAATCAAGGTTTTTGAGACGGCTACGTTTGCCCCTTAAAAATTGTGAATGGGGTAATTATAGCACGTATCGTTTTTTTTTACTTTTTTTATGAGTTTAATTGATTCTATTGTGTTAGTGCCTGATAATATCAGTTTCTACTCGTATTATGATCATGGTTATCCAAAGTTATCGAACCACGTGTCCTAGCACTAATATAAATCGAAAAAGATACATTAACCCCTGATCATACTGTAAGTAAACTTAAAGCAAATTAAACTCTAATACAGATGATAAAAGTACAAAATTAGTAACATTAACTTGCATCTGACGTTTCCTGTTAGTTTGAGAATTATAAGTCATACGGATTGTTAGCTATATTTCCCCTGAAACGGGGGCAAATGTGATTATTGGCGGCATTAAGTAAAATATCTTCGATTTAAAATTAATTTATCTGTATCAATCTGAACTCGTCTACGTTATCATTAGTAAATGTGTAATATAAGGAACTAATTGTACTTGATAAATTGTATTAAAAGTGTAAAAATATTCAATCAAGTTTGAAATATTTTTATATTAATAACAGCACCGGGTGATTTTATAAAAACTATTTTTTTTGTTAAAATTATTAATAATATTTACTTTGCGTATAATGTATGCAAATTGAGAAGGAGATACGTAGACAAAGCTCATTATTTTCGAGTATAAGGAAGGGTGACATGTGATAAGATTAATAAGACAGTTCCTACGTGGCCTAATTTTGCTTCCACCACGTATGTGACGTTTAATAGAGTGCGAGTTAATTTCGATATTTCATATCCGGGGGAGCAAACATTCGCCATCATCATAAATCACGTCGCATCGCACGTCTCCATGGTCTCATTTATTGATGTGAAGGCTAGATATCCTAAATTCATATTACATAAGAGCGAAATTCACTGACTCAATAATTGTGACTCAAGACTTAGAATACCGACGGATGCGACTGGCGCAGGAACGATCGGTTTGGAGATCCTTGGGGAAGGCCTATGATAATGAAGACTTATAAGAATCCTTTATATTACTTAATGGGAATCTGCATGTAAGTAAATGTACGTTTTCCACTTTAAAAAGGAAAATATGCTGAAAATAGCCGAGCGGAAAAGAGTAAAATAATTTTTAGATTTTATTATGAAAACTCCGCTCAGCTTAGTCTATCAGTGAACGCACTTTCATTAACTTCATCTCTGCAAGTTAAACCTTTCGACATGACTTGCATAAGTCCAAACGCATTAATGTGTATTGAAATTCCAAATACTTATCAGTTATTTTCTTAGTTAGGTCACAAAACTCTTATTCATCAAGTTATATTTATTCATAATCTCAAATTATATTCATTAAAAGTGTCTAGGAATCAATATATTTGCAATATAAAATTAATTCGATTCAACGAATTCAATGAATGTTTACAACTAGTTGAGCCTCGCGGTGTTACCCGCGGTTTAATAGGGATATTTTCCCGCAGTAAAACATCGCCTATGTGTTAATCCTGGGTGTCAGCTAACTCCATACCAAATTTTATTAAAATCGCTCCAGCCGTTTAGACGTTAAAAAGTAACAAACATACACACTCACAAACTTTCTCCTAAAATTATAAATATTAGTGTGATACATATTCGCGTTGTTTTTAAATTGCCAGAAAAATACCTATATTTTACTTTCAGCAGGTAAAATTTCAAAGTTTATGTTAATTATTTCAAATTATTCTACTTAAATTTTCACGACCCCATTTGCATAACATTCGCTTATGAATAACAGTCCTTAATGAGATTGTAATTTAGAGTCATCTGCTCGTCGAATATTCATCAAGCATAAATGCATTCATCAACATTTTAAAATTATAAGCTTTGATGTGGTGGATTCCTGTTTTGAAATTACACTGGAAATATTTTTACATCTATTACACAAGGAATAACGATATCATTTATGCAAGGATGTTCATTGTCGTGGCTTTCTTTGTACCAATATTCATTATGATGCCGAATAAATAAAAACGGAGTTACGTATTCAACGGATCACTATTAAATAGACATTGTGTTCATTGTACGAATTTTTCATGTGTTTATATTATGAGACTTTTTAATGATTTGCTAATTCCGTGTTAGCTATTACCATTTCATGATTTCGCCTTGCCAATGTGACATCTACCAGCTTCATGATAAGCTGTTAGCATGGCTTATGGTAGGCTTTAACACCAGGGTCTTACTGACCCTGTAGAAACTTATATACGCCAATGTTGAAGAACTTCTATTACTGTATCATTTTTAAGTAAACTCAATAGAACGCTAATTACAAATTTTTGAAAAAAAAAAGTAAACAAAAACCTAGTTTAAGCAGGGGAAATTTTTTAAATAGTAAACATATATTAGAATCTTCAATCGAACCCAAATTTCGACTTTTTTTGTGTTTGACCATTAGACCAACGGAGCCCTTATAAGTGCTATCCAAAAGGCGCCGGTATTTTATAAGCCGCTCTTACACCCGCCGTTGCACATGTTCCAGATCAAAGTTATTGAAGCCACAGGAGTTTCTGATAAAACCACAGATTATGCTAGGCTGATGGGGTAATATGGTGTATCTCGGCGTGGTCGCGTTGGTGCCAGACGCCAGTCATGGAGCAGGCTATACGCGATCATGCAACGGCGGGTGTAAGAGTAGCTTATAAAATACCAGCGCCTTTTGGATAGCATTTGTAAGGGCTCCGTTGGTCTAATGGTCAATCACAAAAAGAAAGCGAGTTTGCGCGGCCATTCGGAGACGGGTTCCGCGACCACACCCGCCCTCTCGGCACGCACTAGGGGGTCCGCGGTCCTCATAGTACGTGTCGGGTGACGGTGCAGGAGTATTGTCTGGTTTTAGTGGTTCTGTTCACTTCAGCGAGCTCCAGGGCTGGCTGAAGGGGACAGGTAATCCCACATACCTTCTTCTCGCTCCCCTAGTGGTTGAAGGATGCGTAAGGCATTTCCCAGACACAAAAAAAAAGGCTATACGCGAGCTACGTCCCCTGGTGTTGCGCATGGAGAACCTGAAGTCCACATAACGTCCCGGCTCCAGTCTCCTCAACCACAAATTCTCTATAATTTAATTTCTCACCTCAGGTACTAAGATGATGCTAGGCTGATGCGGGAAAATGGTGTCCCTGGGCGTGGTTGCGTTGGTGCCAGTTATGGAACAGGCTATACGCGAGCTACGTCCCCTGGTGTTGCGCACGGAGAGCCTGAAGTCCACATAACGTCCCGGCTCCAGTCTCCTCAACAGGACCACGTTAGCTTGGCACACGGAGTTGTAGCGAGTGCATGGTAACGTTACAATGCCGATGTCCAGTCGACCCATTTGACCTGATGAATTTACGATAAAAGTTTTCAAACCTCAAAGTTATAGCGGATGTTCCACTAGAATCAACGAGTTAATAAAATACCACAGTAAAATAAACTACTCGGTTGTATTAGTTTTCTGTCAGTGAGTAAGTCAAGATTCCACGGCTCCACGAGGGGAGATCAACAGTTTGAGTCTCAAAGCCCAGCCATGATGCAGTACTTTTTTGTCGTATCAGTTTTCATCGTGACTCAAATATTGTTTCTTTTCTATATCTTATATTTTTAATAACACCTAATCATAAAATATATTAAGTTTAAGATACACATATAAGACTTATTTTTATTAAAAAAATCCTGGAAATATCCAGCTGGTCCTATTTTCGACTGTTTTATTCTCTGTCAGCACCCACCAACTCACACTAAGTGTAATTACGACGAAATTATCTTTCTACTAGATAAGGCTCTTGTAACTTAGTGGGCCGATAAAAATATCCTATCATTCTGAGTAAGGGTGACATCAAAAAGGACAAATTATTAGTTACCAATCAGCTCAAAGTGCAGCGGGTAGTCAAAGTCTGGATCGGAGGCGCGCACGCGGTAGATGACTGAACCGACGGCAGCGTCGGCTGGCACCAGCACTAGCCGCATCAGGGTGCTCGGGTCGAACACCGGCTCGCCGCCGCGCACCGCCGCCGCCACGCAAACCAACACCAGCACTATAGCAAACGTCATCCTGGAAACAATGGAGAATCGTAAGTAAAACTAGTTGCAAACAAGACCCTGAATTTATATTGAAATCAAAATTAAAAGAAGTACCAAATGACATCCCGAAAACACAAGGAAATCATAAGTATAACAAGTAGTAATCCTGAAAACATAACTTTGGTACTAAAAAGCGCTAAAATAAGCATTCGAACTTTGAATTTAGTACGCTCTTCCAGCTGCACATACACTTCCACAAACTCTTTTAGCCTGTCAAATTATCGCCAGTCAAGGTAGGTATCGTCTAGAACTTATTAAAATTTCGAACGCTAATTTTAGCGCATTTAGTACTAAAGCCACCCGAAGCTACGTGGCGCAGGTGTAGGAGAAGCATGAGCATGGGGATCGTTACAACAAGTAGCAAACGTCATCCTGAAAACATAGGAGAAGTCTGGGGACAAAGTTACATAGTAAGTACACGTAATTCTAAAACATTGCTCGGGGGATAAGATTTACCATCCGAGTTTATTGAAGATTTACAAGTAAGCCAAATAAAATAAGCTACAGTAGTTATAGCTTTGATCGATTGATTGAAGATTTAGATTTCGATGTTGGCGGTGTATTAAAATGTATTTCTAGACATTCCTTCATTAACGATTGAATCGAATCTAGGTATTTACCCGGAACTGAAGAAGTAAAAAAATAAAAATAAATTGATGCAATCGATAATTTTAAAACTAAGTTCCAGAAACAAAATACAAAATGGTGGCTCATCAACCATTGTTTCGGTTTTCTTATGGTAAGTTTACAGTATTCGTTGAGATATACTAATCTATAGAAGTGATAATAAGACTGATGTGCTTATCTTTTTCAAGTTGTCGTATCATTGGAGCTCTGCCAAATCCGCAAATACAAGAGAAGTCGATTTGGCGAATTTGGATAAGTCTTGCAGTTATATGTAAATAAACGCAATAAACAGTAGGTTGGTTCAGCAGTTCATTCATTAATAAATTACAAAGTGTTGAAAAAGATATGATTGATACTTCGAGATATTTACTGTTAACTATAATGTATCATACTACACTCTTCAAAGATTCTAAGCAAAATGCATGATGCATACAGAAAATATGCTTTATTAATAAATGTAATTTTTTTCTTCTGAGCGAAGTAGATTGGAATGTAGTTATCATTTTATTCATTTTTTAAGCATTTAACTGCTAGATGTTTAAATCTAAAGAAAAGTTTACTAGAAAAAAATCCACGCGGACCAGGCAGCGGACGGGACTCGAACCCGCATCCTTCGCTATCCGGGCGAATGCACTGACCATTATGCTGCCACGGCCCTATTAGCCGCGTCGAAATTTTCCCAGCCTTAAGCTGCAAGGCAGCGCCATCTCTTCGCATTGTAGGTAACCCACAATGTCAAATGAATACTTTTTCAAGTATTAAACATTCGAAAGAAGATATAGCAATTATAGTTATGATTTTATTTATTTTTGAAGCATTTAACTATTAAACTTTTCTTTAGATTGGTATGTAGTTTTTTTTTCTCGAAAATATAGATGGCTGATTTTAAAAATAGAAACTTTTCCATTAGCTTTATAATAGTATAGTATAAATATTTATATTACAATAGTAAAAAGCGTTTAAAAGTTCAAAACCCAACAACATGATTCTAAGATCTCTTTTGATGAGTATATTTAAAGAGAGCAAGCCTCCTAATTTTCTACAAAGTTTTAAGCCATCGATTATATTTATTGCGTACGTACACCATACATCCCAGTCGATAAGAATGTTTACAAAATATAAAGAATTTAAAATGTATTAACGAACTTTTCTCTAGTGTCCAAAGCAAGTGAAATGCATTTCATAAAATGGAATAGATTCTTTATAGCCAATAAAGATGAATGTGTCTCTATTACCACTTAGATAGCTTTAAAACCCAGTGAACGATTTAAATCTCTGTTTTACTACAAATCTTATAAACGAAGCATAGTAGCAATACGCTAATGATTTTAAAAAGGTTTCTAAAAAAGCAGAAGTGTCCCTTAAACTATGTTTGAAATAAAGCTAGTTTTAAGTAGCAACTACTGAAGGAGCGATGCACTCCAAAGAGCTTACAAAGATCTTTGAAATGAAATGCAGTCAAAGTTAGGCTCAAAGTTGCTCATCTATTTGGCGCTAAGCACTTTGAGCCAGAGTGTGCCTTTGTCGCGTGTTTGAATGGCGCTGTCTTGCGTTCTACTGCTGAATTAAAGGGATTGAAAACAGACTAGCCTTGAATTTTAGGTTCTATAGGTTAATAAATCCATTAGAAAACAAAGTTTAATTAATTCTACGGCTTACAACTTTATCATTGTATTATTTAATATATTTTACTAATGATTACGATCACATCGAACACAATAAACTTTCCTTTAAATTGAAGTTCTTTCTAAAAGTAATTTGTGAACAACGTAGTAATGTTATAGTCTCATAGTGAGCTAGTTTAATTGAAGACCCTTATATTTATCAATAAATCGACCCCATATTTTCGAACAAAAGGAAAGTCAACTAAAGACAAGCGGTGTTTGAAACAAGATTGCTTAGTTGCGCTCCAGTTTGTTAGTTTGAATTGAGCCGATAATTTCTGCAGTGGGAGAAATCAAAAGTTAGAGCGCGTGTGCACCCAGGATCGAGTAACTTCATTAAAATACAAATTGCCTGTATCTCTGGATATTCTTAGGATCATAGCCGCGACCGCAGAGCTACTCACTCGAGTTGCGAAAGGGAAAATTGTGTTATGAAATTGTACCGCTTCTGTACCGACCAGGAAGCAACCGCTCTTTATAGCTTTGTAGGTAATAACTCGCTTAAGGATGCTATGAGATTAATTTTATTTCTATTTCTACTCGTGGAAGTCGAGCTGCTTCGTTTGTAATCTAAGGAATAATTTACCGTCATACGGAATCGAGATTGTGAACTCAAGTAGTCAACTACGAGTGGCAGATCATCCTACTAAAGTGTAGTTGTTAAAGTCAGGCTGACAACGGCAAGTTCACTGGCACGTTAATTATCAGAACGCGTCTCGATATCCTGACATTGTTTAAGCAACTGATATGATATTATGTACAGAAATTGATGAAGCTGAAAAAGAACCTTCTTTGGTAGCTCAATCTAAGATCGACATCGACACATATGTGTAAAACTGACCAGTCAATTAGCCTAATACAAATAGCCTTTTAGTAGATAATAATTTATTAAGGTATATAACAGACAGCTCATTAGAGCATAGAAAATTATTGCAGTTCAGACGACCACTTTGAATTAGACAACTCAATGTCATTAAACGAACGTAATAGGTGCTTAATGTTAATTTAAACTTGACCTTAGTTAATGTTCTCTTCGCGAATAATTTAGAAGCTCTTGAGATGTCAAGCTTTCCCGGAACATTCAGCGAGGGTCATTATTCAGTGGCAGGAGTTATTGCGTGCCCATAGCTCGCACACTGCTCTGAAGACACGTCTCGTGCAAATGAGAGACGAACGAAAGACGTCCTGCCTCTGATTTACAATCGCTGCGTCTTTAGCCCGTCACATCGCCATAGTGTTTCCGCCTGGCGCCGCAACCCAACGTGAAATATTTGTCTGACACGAGTCCGCCGCGCGAGACTTTAAATCTTGTCGCGTGTTCACAAACCGAGCTATGAGCCACACCGAGCTCTAGGTATCGACGACACCTTGATACACTATGATGATTAAAATCTAATGGCTCATAAAATTGTAATCCCACACTGTGGTACAACATCTATATATTTGTATCGAAAGTAACTATCACGTTTCAAGTTATGTGGATACAGTCAATACTTTATAAGGTATATCGTTTGTTACGTTCTCTCATAATTTTAAGCAATAAAGCCGAAAACTCTGAAGAAGGAAATATGGGCGCCCATTACCATCCACGGTACCAATTAAACATGTTTTGGCAGACAGAAAAGCAATTACTGTCGTTCGATCATTTAGAAAGGCTCAGGAACGTAATTAAGGGATTATTATCCTATGGTTCCAACCAATGGTGGATCCGGCTCTTAAATCATCGAAGGCGTCTGTGTATTCCTTGGCTCAATAATTAATTTGTATTTTCAGATATATTTTCATACCTACAAACTACCGCATTATGAAATTTGCAATTCGACGTTTTATGGTCATACGATCTTAGTGGCGAGAAATCGTGAAAGGCTACAAATAGTGTGTGCCAAAAGCGTGCTAAAATATATCGTATCACAATGCCATAAAAAGTAACGAATGGTCTAGGTGCTCCGGGAATGGTTAGTGCGGTCGTAGCGGAATATCATTTGTCATTGTTATTTATGAGGAGCGCTGTGTTAGAAGCAGGGAGTAGCGGTTCAGCGGCCGCGGGGCAGCATGGGCTCGAGCAGCGGGAGATACGAGGCAAAAATGGCAGGCGCACGATGTCGTCGCTTCGACCCCAGCCGTACAAGGTCCCCTTTTGGTCACGGCACCCCATTAATATAGCACTAAATGTGTGAGCTGGAGACGTGAGCTCGACGCCGCATATAACTAAGGGCCTGCACCTATTGTAAATTCTAACATTCAATCTCACAACAAACGCATTATGCGCTCACCGATCGATTTGTAAAGATACCGGGTCATGGTTCTCTGCCCGGAGCTATACCACCTATTCACTCATAAAAATTTATTGTTAATTTACTATTTTATGCTTGCTTCGAAATTAAAGATGAAATAGACGTAAAGGGCATGAACCGTTTATTTATATTCAATACCTACCCCAACAAATCGGAATTACTTATAGAACGTAACTACCAATTATTGTTAACATCTGTAAAGTAAATATAATGTGTAATGATTTCAAGCAGACATTAAAAAATTGGAGTATTTAACTGAATAATCAATAAAATCAAATCAAAATCTTATTATTCCACTTCTGAAAAGCCGTATATGCTTTGGATCACATACATGTTTGAGATTGGTCAATAGTATTGATTGTATACTTACATAATAATAAATGTTC